TTTCGTGTTCAGTTAACCTGTACTTTACTTCTGTTTGCCATTGCTACCTTGTACTACTCGTCTGTATATACCGTACGGCAAAGGAGTGTGAATCCACCATCCCCAGTGCTTGACTTAACTCAGTACAGTACCTGTACCTGCACGGCGGCCCGCGCCGTGAGTCGCCCTATATTCAGGGCTCAAACCTCCCTTGTTTTTTGAAAGGGGCTTATGTACAAATATATTTTATGCCTTTTTATTATAAGTCTTGTACTCGATGACTTTTGCCATGACATCTTGTTCTACTTATTCTGTAAATGATGCATTATAAAGAGATCATTTAAGGAAAAATCACTTGGTACAATAATTATTGTAATTAAGAGATGTAGCCTTTATTAAAATTTTATATTTTTCAACAAAAAAAAAACCAAAACAAAACAAAAAGAAAAACCAACAACAACTTGCCTGGTCTTTGAATGCCCTGGGGGTAGGAGCAGGAGGTCAGGGTGGCCTTGGGGTATGTGCGAAGCTTGGGTCTTGGTCACTCATCCTGTGTGAGTCCCATCTGGTCCTGCCCTTCCCTACCCTGCCCTGGAAGGATGCCTTCAAAGTTGCCTGGCTGCCCATGGAGAACCCTCGTGGCAGCAATTTCTTTGAAATCCTCTTCCCTCGCCTACTTTCAGCTTCTCTCTCCCGGGAGAGGTCTCCAGGGAGGCCAGCAGGTGCCAAGGGGTGGAAATGGGGCCCTCCCAGAGTACTCAGGTAATTCAGTGGGGGATTCTGAGATAAAAACGGGGATGTGGATGTGGAATGCCCTGGTAGCCCCCTGTTGGGTATCTGTTTGTTCTGCACTAAGCCAGCCGCCCCATGTGATCATCAGTAAGGGTTCAGGCTGGCCAGGTGGTCCAGGAAGAGAAGGGAAGGCAGGCAGTTGAAGACTCTCGGTGAACAGGTGTGCTTCACGGGCCCTGGAAGCCCAGGGTCGGGGGTACATGGAGATGCCCCCCAGGCAGAGGACTGAGGGGGTAGTGGGTTGATACCAGATGTGGGCGGGGGTCGCTAGGTGTCCTCAAGTCCCTTCCGACTCAGCTACCCTATGCATCGCAGGATACAACACTGCCCACCCAGGGCTGCGCCGTCCTCGGCTGTCCCCGTGTGTGAGCTGGTCTGGTCTGAGAACCCTGGTCTGGTCTAAGACCCCGTGATGAGTGCTCTTACGGTGGGGGTGGGGGGTGTATCAGGCAAACAGGCCTCCTACCCCGCTTGGAAGGCCTGGCAGTGGGAGAAGCCAGCTGGGCCTGGTGTGGCTGGGCGCTGCCCTTTTCCCTCCTGGCTGGAAGGGGCTCACGGCAGGGCAGCGCAAGACCACTTGGAGAATTTTAAGGCTTCCTTCCAAGCCACAGCTTGCTTTCTGACTGCAGAGGGTGGGTGTGCGGGTGGGGGGTGGTCTGTGGGGTTTCTGATTCATCCAGTGAGGATGGCTATAGGCAAGCACGTGGTGGGCCCAGCGCCACCCCCCACTAGGAACTCGGGGCGGGAACTTGGCATCCAGGCTGTACCCAGGAGGTCCAGCCTGCTGCTCTGCATTCATTAAGAATCGAGGATTCTTAACCTGGTAGGTGGGCTTCAACTGTGAGTCCCTGAAATTGTTGGCAGAATCACCTGAGTGCCTTAGGAGGCAAGGTTAGATTCCTTTTTTTTTTCCTTTTCACTTAAAAAAAGTTTCATTGGCACACAATCCCTACATCATACAATCGTTCGATCTTAACACGAAGAGTTGAACAATTATTACTACGATCTGTCTCTTGTCCGCATTATTAGTGCCTCATCACCATCCCCGCCGCGCAGACTCCCGAGAAACCACTAGTCCTGTTACTGCTTATAGACTCACCCGTCCTGGATGTCATCTGTCGGACATGCGAAGACAAAGCACAACCCAAACCTAACAACAATGACAAAATAGCCCCCTTGAAAAGAAGACTGAACATGTTAAAAACTAGAACAACTTTTCAAAGGGAGATCAGATGATAGAGTTCAGTTTGAACCAACTATATCTGCCATAGAATACACTTTTCTAACGCATTCCCTCAGCTGCTCACATCCCTGGTCTGTGGTCAGAGGGGATGCCTTAGGAGAGCACGCTTTTCAAAGGTCATGTCTGTTGGGCCATCGGTTCCTGCCTCTCTCCCCACATCATTGACCACCCAGCTTTTCTGCGGCCCGGTGGCCCTGACCTGGCCTGTGATCTTTCCTCCCATCCCCCGCCCTCCGCCTTAAGATTATTTGGGGGACTAGACGTGTCAAAACACTCTAATGGCTTCTCAATGTGCAGCCCAGGGCTTGGGTGGTAGTCTGAGCCCACAACCAGCCTCACTGTTGCTCTCTGAGTCTCTCCTCCACCGGTAACCTACATCACTGCTCCCTGAACTTCCCCCTCCAAGCTCTCAAGTTGCTGTTGCCGGTTTGATTCGGGGAGGAAGCCAAGTTCCGACTTCTAGTGACCTCGGAGGACAGAGCAGCGCTGCCCCTTTGGGTTTCTGAGGCTGTGAATGCGTCCGGCAGCGCAAGTCTTCGTCTTTCGCCCATAGAGCGACCAGGGGAGTCGAACTGCCGACTTTGAGTGTAGCAGCCCAGTGTGTAACCCATCACGCCGGAGTTGCTATGAAATCAACTCTATGGCAGTGTTTGGATATTTTAAGCAAACTTGCCATTGGGCCGAGTCCCCCCGCAGTGCCACTGGTGAATTCAAACCTGAGACCTGGTTAGCGGCGGAATGTTTGAGTACTCCCCCCAAGGGGCGCCCCTCGATTCCATGCTGATGGATCCTAAAGACCACAGTGCTCTAGGCAGGCGCCCTTGACTAGGTGAGCTGTCTGTTTTAGGAAGAATTCAAGGAGCTATTGTTGATGTCACCTTTCAAAGAGAATAGTTTCAGGGACCCATTGGCTTCCATCATAGTGATCCTATAGGACCCAGTAAAACTGCCCTTGTGAGTTTCCAAGACTAAATCTATAGGAGCAAAAAAACCCCTAATTTGCTCCCTAGGAGGGGCCGGTGGTTGGCAGCCTAACGCATAAGCCACTGTCACCAGGGCTCCTTCTGCTCCCATGAAGGTTTCCATCTTCAGAAACCCCCAGGGGCAGTTCCACATAGTCCTGCAGGATTGTATGAGTCAGAATGTCCTCAACGGCCTAGTGGGGTGCGGTTTGGACCCGCCTCCAGGCTCCAGGGCTCCCGGGTGCCTGGATTCCTTGAGAACTTGACAGTCTGTTCTGCGTTTCCCTCCATTTGCTCAGGATTCCATCACAGAATCGGGTTCAAATGTTCAGACACGGTAGCCAGGCACCATCAGTTCTTCGGGTCTCATGGCACTGGACACCTCTAGGAGGTTGCTGCCCACGGCAGCACTGCCCTGCTCTGGTTGCCTCTGTGTCCTCCCCACGGGATAAGCCCAAACCTCGTCCCTGTGACTGACCTTGTCTGAAAACAGGGTCTTTGCGGATGTCATTGGGTTGAAATGAAGGCAGTACAGTGGGCCTTCATCCTCCGGACCGGTGCCCTTGTAAGAAGGAGCAGGTGCAATGGGAGAAGTCCCTGTGATGATGGTGGTGGCGATGGCAGTGATACATCTATAGGTGAGGGGTTGCCGGCAGCACCGGTGCGAAGAGCTGGGCATGAAGCCTTTAGGGGGCATAGTTCTACTGACCCTTGACTTTGGTCTTAGAGCCACCAGAATGGTGAGAGAATCCTTTCCTGTTGTTCCATGCCACCCCACGTGTGCTCCTGTGCCCCAGCCTCCCGAGGATTC